ATAAATCAACTTTTTTTACTGCAGAAGGTTTTTACGGACAATGGAGAATTGTGAATTGAACAGAAACCCTTTCTATTTAATCGTGCTTATAAGTTGTCACCGTGTGGTGAAGAGCCAACAATGATCTTGAATTGTTTCAAAAGAAGGGTGAACCAACCATGCATTTTCTTTTATTTCCAAAAAGAGGTCCCACATTTATGAGATGATAGCTGTTCACGTTGGATTTGGTCCTTCCTTAATGGAGGAGGTTTTCTTTCGAATAACTTGATTCAGGTTTCCTTGTAAAATTTGATTTATCAGTTTTCGTAAGTTTTGATTATTCCAACCTGACTTGTGTGATGTGTCCTAGTAGAATTATGAATTTATCAGAGAGCCTAAAAATTCAACTCAAGGGTGGATTTTTGTAACACAGAAGGGAGTTAAGAGTGAGAGCCAAAAGGTTTGAAAGTGAGAGCCAAATGGTTTGAGAGTGATGTTCACGAGTTTGAGAGAAGGTGTGCAAGGGGTGTATCCTATTGGATACGAGCTCAGGTTTGGGATTAAAAATTGAGTGGTTATTCTTGTACCCTTTTTTTTCCTCATATATAGTGAAGGTGAAAACTCAACATGGATGTAAAAAGAACTTTTGCAACTAAATATGTGACAAGGTGCCAAATAACATCTTGATAACCTAAAAGAATTGATGAATCAATTATGTCATTGAGCATGTTCAACACATACATTCACAAAATACAACCTTTTCACCTGTTGCAACAAAAGCAATGACTAAAGCCACAAATTCAAACAAGTATTCTCATGCAGTAGACTTACTCGATCAAACCAGAAGACATATTTGCATACGTATTGAAAAAAGCATCAATCCGTTCCAACTCTTTATTAGCTGCTTTAATGGCTGAAAAGATAAAGATTAAAATAGTCACGACCACAAACAGTTTGGAATGCTAACTTAACAAAAATTAGTAATCAATATTCAAACAGGTGAGTATCTACAGCATCAGAAGAACACATTCTACAACTATTAATGTCTGCAGTAAACCAACATGAAAACCAAATAGCCTCAAACCAGAATTATTTTTCAACTTAAATCAAGGTTCACTAAGTAACGTGTGCTTCCTGGAAGTATCTAACAACTTGATTAGGATATAATTACAGAACTCGTGAGAGACAGCCAGAATAGACCCAGCTTAGTGAGAATGCTGGGTTCTCTTTCCTTATAAACACCCATAAGTGGGGATATGGATAATGCTAAAGGGGGAGTGCTCAGCTGGTCAATAACACAAAGCATAGAACCATACAATATGATACCTGGGAATATATGTCTCAGTTGAAAAAACAAGAGAAGATGTTTTGTCCTGCCATGGAAAAACTGAAGCTTCCTAACTCAGAGACTCTAAAGCGGCAGCACAATCTCTTTGATTAGAGAATGAACAAAGGCTAAAGAACTGGGATCTGACTGCCCCTCGAGAGAGAATGAAGATGTGCTTCAATTATATGGGGAATTTGAAAATATTATGAATTCACTAGCAAATCCCATGGAAATGAGAATAAAGCTTAAATTGTAGATTCTCCAAAGCAGAAGTCAGTTAAACAAGTTTATGCTAGAGGTATCAATCATCCTCCTTGTTGTCCTAAAAAAATAAGATGGATTCAAGCCTAAAGATGGATCAACCCCATCTAAAATGCAATCTTTTGTTGATATACAAGAATATGTCCAGCATCTCCTGAAAACTCAACAGTCAACACAAATGTGTAAACCAAATGCTTCTGCACAATGCGATATAGACAATCAGTTGTACCCTTAGTTGGTAATGTTTCTGTTTTCCTTTTTAACTAAAGTAATGCAAAAAAGGGTGATGTGAAAAAGAAGAGAGTTGAGAGGGATGTGTGTGTGAGAAAGAGAGAGCGAGAGAACAGGAAGGAAGCATGGAATGGTTTTCAATATAAAAACCAAAGACAAAAACTAGAATAATTTTAAGCAATTTCCAATTTTATCTATCTATCTCATTTATTTCCTCTTTCTCCCATCTTTAATTTTAAAAAACAAAAATATAATCAAATGGCCTTACACAGTTCAATCATGAGAATTTCTGGTTCAATAGCTCATTCTTTTCAACAATTCAAACCTTTTCAACCTTTCATGCAAATACAAAATTCCATTACTTCTAGTAATTCAACTGCACCACTCTCCGGCTTTTGATTTCAACAAAAATTCAACATTTCTTATGTTCATTTATTAGTATTCCTGTAATTTTAAATTATTGTTCTGTTCCTGAGCTAAAGCAACTCAATTCAAAGCATGAAGCTCAAATTGAACCGGATCCATACTCCCAACACTCATCAATTTCCATGATCATATATAAAAGTCGCAGAATTCAATAAAAAATTTAAAAGCTTTGAACATAAAACAAAGGAATCAATACTAATTACAACAAAACCAATCATCAAATTATCAAAAACAAAAAAATTGAAGGATAATTGAGCAGAATTGACAAAGAAAAAGGAAAGATCCGATTACGAACCAGAGCGCCTCATCTTCTTCACAAAATAGACACGGAGATATAAACACAGAAAGAGTCAAGAGCAAGCGAGTGCAGAAGCCTCGTCGCTCGAGAGCTCTGTTTTCGATGTCAGAGAGAGACTTAGAGAGAGAAATTTATAGAGGAAGAGATGGAGTGACAGGCTCTTATATTTGTAGCCTCTATTTTTGGCTTTTTCCGAGTATGAAGAGAAGAAGATGATGACGTGGCGTTTGTAGATTGGGGTAAAAACTTTTACTATTTTGGTGAGCGGCGTACGATAAAAAGAATTAAAAAGGAAATTAAATTGCTGGCTGACTGGCTGGCTGGCTGTCTTGCTTGCCGAAATTAATGTCATTTTTACTTATGGAATTGGGAGAAGTTACAAATCGGGGAAGTCGTTATAGAATCAACTACTACCTTAGATTAATTAACTTCTTGATTTTCAGATATTGGATAACGGATATAATTGTGGAACTCATATAATATTTTAATTCTCTATGTGTTAGTAAATGCATAGTAAATTAAGAATTAGAGTAATTTCAATACTCAAACGCAAAAGTCGTGTCGTACATTTATTTTCGCTTTTCTAGATTGAAACAAGGCTGTACAAAATGGGTTGTCTGACCTTTGCCCAATTGAATCTATGTCCACAAAGATTAGGTTGGATCATTATTGAGAGTAAATCTCATATCTAGAAATTAAAGCTTTGCGTAACAATTTAATTGATATTGGGCATCGCCACTCATTGCTAATTAGTTTTGCATTAAATGCTTACATTCTAATATAGTATCAGAGCAGGTTATTCACGTGTTAGGTCCAACGGTCACATGTTGTGCCACCCACTAATTAATGTATTGTCCATGTGTTTAGCTTGAGTGGTACCACAAGTGAAGGGGCGTTTTGAGAGCAAACCCCACATCGAGAAATTAAAGATTTGTCTAATAGTCTAAATGATATTGAGCCTCTTCACCAATTCTCAATTGATTTTAGGTTGGATGCTCATATTCTAATATTATATATGATATATAATATTATAATATATTAGATTATTTTTGGAAAATTTACTCTAAAATAAATATATATTAGGTTTTTTTTTCTACACTTTAACTATAAAACTTCTTAATCACTCTTCTATTTTCCCTTAAATCTTTTAAGTTAGGTTATGATACTTGCACTAAAAACTCCTAAAATAAAAATTCTTCTCTTTCTCTTCATCTTTTGTTTAACGTAAACTTTGTGAATTTTTTCCTTCCTTTTTTACATGTCATAGTAGGGTACCTTAATTAACATTGGGATCTATGAACCTTTTTGGTATTTCTTCTCTATGTTGGAATATAAATTATTAACTTTTGAGTCTTTAGTAGTGTAGATGATGAGATTAAATATGAAATAAGAAATTCATGACAATTATGGTAGTAATGAATGAATAAATTATTAATCAATATGAAATGATATTATGAAGTGGGTTATACCGAGCAATTAGTATCGTATCAACTTATTAACCGATCAGAGCTTGAGCGCTCCTATCCAAATGATTTTTTAAAATTTTGTGAAGAGCCCCCTTTAGTGTGAAATCTCAGCTCCGTCATTATAAAAAGTAACTAATAGTATAGATAATTATTTCGGATACCAACTATTGATTAGTCTAGTGGTACTTCTCTCTCTAATATTGAAAAAGGTCGCAAGTTCAAATATTCTCTCCCGTATTCATAAAAGAAAAAGATAGTTAATTTGAATTGGGTCCTAATCTTGTGGTGTCTAGATATTGGAAGCCCAATACATCCTCAAGGCCCTTTTTCACACTTCTCAAACCTCATAGGTTTTGGCTGCATCCTTAAAGCCCATAGTTAGTAATATAATTCAATAAAGATTAGTCTTTACACACAATTGTCTCTGGACACTTTTGTCTCCTTGGACACATATTGTCAACATTTTCTTGACTCCCGAAACAAGTTACTAAGGCCATGCCCAATGGTTGGAGTTCTAAAAGGGGTTGATAGAGCCTCATTTAGAGCTCCGATAGAATCTTTGGGGCTCTAAAGGCATCTCTCCCACAATGGGAGGCCCTATATTCATGGCGGGCTCTATATTTTTTTTATGATGTAATTTTTGATTACTTTTTTTTTTTTTTTTTTTTTTTTTTTTTTTTTTTTTTACTTTAATTTTTATTTAATGTTATGTTATGTTTTTTTTTTTTGGGTGAACATTTCAACCAAAAAAAATTAAAATTTGGACAAAATTTGGAAATCAACATTTTATTTCATAGATACGATACAACATGGTTAAATTAAAACAAGATGCACAACATTAATTTGGTGGTCCTCCCAAAGTTGGACAACATTAATTTGGTGGTTAAATTAAATCAACATATTCGTTGGCTTTGAAAAGGTGGTTTAACAATATAGCTGTTTACACAGCTTTTGAAAATTTGGTTTAGCATGGTGGGTCAGCATGCTGTTGACAAAACAAAAAAAGGCGAGTATGGCTTTGTACAATCGCAAGGCAAGTGAGAGACCAAAAAATGTGGGCTACAACTTTTCTCCTTGCGGGACCTACTTGGTTTCAAGGGCTTCAACCAAGCATATAGATTTAGCTACTCGTAACAGTCATATACTGATTATAGATAAGCCATACACTGAACTCCCTCTATTTTAGTTTAAGAACATCTCAAAACTGAAATTCTCTCCACCTAGGTGTACCCCCATTCCTGATTCCTCAATTCCATTAATACCGTCAATTTCATCCTTGTAGGCCTCGGAGACACCAAGTCTACTCGAGCCGCAACCCTTGCTAGGCCTGCGAGGATTGCGGCTCGGGCAGACTTGGAATCTCCGAGGCCTGCAAGGATTGCAGCTCGAGTAGACTTGGTTTCCCCGAGGCCTGCAAGGGTTGCGGCTCGAGTAGACTTGGTGTCTCCGAGGCCTACAATGATGAAATTGACGGTATTAATGGAATTGAGGAATCAGGAATGGGGGTACACCTAGGTGGAGAGAATTTCAGTTTTGAGATGTTCTTAAACTAAAATAGAGGGAGTTCAGTGTATGGCTTATCTATAATCAGTATATGACTGTTACGAGTATTGGGAAGTTGCAAAGTATTGTTTTAGAGTTGTGAATATGATTGAGTACATCACGCACATGAGAATTCAGTTTGATTTGCAAAACTCATGAAAATATGATGAATGAATGAGATATTCAATTACATTATTAAAGGGAAAGAACTACGTGTGGCTTGATCCCTCAATACAGGTACGTAGGCAGCCTAATGTTACAAGGTGCAGCCACGAGTTGGAGTGTTTGAGATTGCTAATGTACTATTGATTAGCAGAATGATTTATTTGATTTGTTGAGGCCTGAGACCAGAATGATATGATGCTTGATTGCTTGGATATAATTTAATGCATGTTGAACGATTGGGATCTATAAATATTTGTTGACAGGTGGAAACTTTTGGGAAACGAGCAAGTTACAGGGGAGACTCTGCCGAATTTTCGGCAACAGCCTAACTAATAGTAAAATTTGGTTTCTAGTTAGAAAGGCAATTTGGGCATTTATGCCCTGCATTCGCCAGGTGTCAGACATGCATAGGGTTCAGCTCAGATTCCAAAGTAGAATTTGGGTCGGGTCCTGTCAACTTGGTATCAGAGCATTAGGTTATATTCCTATAGACTCAGCACCACGTGTGCATCCTTGTTTTAGTAAATTGCTTGATGTTTCTTTATGTTGTTTTGCCTTGTCGGCGTGTCTGAGTAAAAAGGCATCATGAAGGGTTGAAAAATTTGTTGAGGTTTTCATAAGAAAAACGTAATATACATGTGGAAAATAAACGGTTTGAGAGGAACTATAACTGGGGACATGAAATTTTTATGTCGAGGATTGGAGAAAGTAAAAGTGGAGTGGTGGGCATCTTGGATTCGAGAGCTTAGGCAGTGTTGGAGATTGCATCCAGTTTAGGGTGTTGTAATAAGCATAGTTTAAAAGTATACTGTTGTAGAGGGGAGTGTTGTCTTAGGTCGTTTGACCATTTAACCTATTAGGATTAGTTAATGCTTTAGGGGCAAAGATGAGGTCTTATCACAAGGGAAGTGTTCGAGTCGAAAGCTGACAAAGAGAGTTGACTAATCATGGTGGCAAAGTTAGTGAGTGGACTTTTGTTTTCATAAATGAATTTATGCCATTCAATTTCATTATTTGATCTTGAATAAGTATTAAATAACTCGAGTTTTTCTAGCATATTTTTGCTGAGGTTAAATATTTTATTTATATGCTGCCGAGTTGAGAACGCTTAAAGAATATGAAAAATAAGAATTTCAGAGAACTATAAGATAGGATGGCAACAGAGTTTAAGAAAAAAAAAATTCGTTTTATTTATTCCAGACCTTCCAGAAATATATTTTTTCTTAAACCAACCTAGGTACCAAAATATAATAAATGTTGCATTCGGTTAGGTCAGCATGCTTAACTTTGCCCCACGAGTCCTAGGGATACCCAGAACCGTGTGGAGCCAGGAATGCGGATCAGGCTGACTAAATATTGAATTATGCAAGGATTGCAACTCGGGTCGACTTTATGTTACCGAGACCTGCGAGGACGTGTCACAAATGTGACACGAGGAATTGACGGTTAATAGTGGGATTAAATGGACATAAAGGAACTGATGGAGGTAAAATGGGTACGCCTAGGGTGGTAGACTAAATTTCATTTTCAATGTCTTAAGCGGAAAGATGTTTTGAATAAGTGTGTGAATGGTTATCTAAATATAGATATGAATACGTGTTGTTCAAGTTGAACCAATAGGAGGTCACAGTGATTGTGGTACCCTGAAATAGGAAACTTGTTGTTTGAGGTGATTCAGGTAAGCAAATCATAAATGGATGCGTTTAGCTTTCAGATGAAGATTAAGCATTATATTAGCCATCAAATGATACTCTTAGTTGGAGAAGGAGACTTCTCTTTTTCTGTTTGCTTAGTCAGAGCTTTTGATTTGGCTGTCAACATGATTGTGATTTCTCTTGACTATAGAGTGACTTTGATGCTGAAGTATTCAAAAGCTTTGAGCAATGTGAAATATTTAGAGGCAAAGGGATATATACAGTATTGCATGAGGTGAATGTTCATAGCATGAGCTAACACCTTTCCCCGATTAGATTACGCTTTGATTGCATAATCTAAAATTTTCCTCATGCAGATTAGTTGCATGGCCCCTTTGTTTTTGAACTTAACAGGTTTCAAATTTGGTGTTTTCGAGCTGGAGTCAGTTCCAGTAGAGGCTCTAACTAGAGTGGTAGTTCTGGGAGTTACTCTGGAGGTGGTACAGCTAGAGGTGTTGGGAGGCAGCTACAGCCAATCGCTATCAAGAGGAGTCGCCCCCAGTGCGTTGTGTGTGACAGGTACCATTCTGGGCCTTGTCCACGGGGCGCCACTAGGTGTTGTCATTGTGGACAATCTGGGCATTTTCGGATGGAGTGCCTGATGCTCCTCCAGGGCAAAGAGATTACCACTGGGCCGACCCAGGGGACTGATGTACAGAGTGGTGCTCAGACGCATCATAGTTTGTTGGGGCCTCGTCCAGTGACGGGTCCAGACTAGTGTAGCTAGCAAGGATGGCAACCAGCAGAGGGGATGTGGTGGACGTTCCAAAGCTACAGGCAGAGTGTATAACATGTCTCAGCAGGAGGCACAAGCGTCACCAGATGTGATTATAGATGTGAGACTCTCAGCTCTACGAAATGATCTGGCGATCTCTGTACCTACAAGAGATGTCTTTATGGTACGTACAGTGTATAGAGATAGCTTGGTGTTAGTGGGGGATGTATTTCTGGAGGCAGATTTGATTCCTCTGGATACGGTAGACTTGGATGTTATTCAGGGCATGGATTGGTTAGCCAAGCACCGTGTCTTAGTGGATTGTTTTCGAAAGGATGTCATATTCTGTAGTCCTGAACAACCTGAGGTGACCTTTTATGGTGAGTGTAGAGTTCTTCCATCTTGCCTCATTTCAGCCATGACGGCGAGATAGTTGCTCAGAAAAAGGATGTTCAGGATACTTAGCTCATGTCATTATGGGTGGGCACGGTTTGGTTTGGACCGGTTTTTGCATAAACTAAAAAACGAAACCGGTACTGTTCACTGATCCGGTCCGGTTTGGATTTTTACTAAAATGCTTGAAAAAATCAGACCAACCCGAACCGATTTTGATTCGGTTCGGTTCTGGTTTTTATGGTTTGGGCTGACTATTCAGCTTAATTGAATTTTTTTTAAGCTTCAGCCCAATTGATATTTAAAACCTTTTGGGCCTAATTATTACCGATTGGCCCAATTCACATCCACGCACTGCAAATTGAATGAATCCATCAAGCATTAATACAATTTTTTGACAAAACAACAAATATCAAGCATTAAAATAAAACTTACAACATAAAAACAAAACAAAATAAAGCAAATTTAATTACAAACAAATTACAGAAATAGAACATATTCAATTTTCTGCAACATCTTCAGTCTTTCTTCCATGCTACTTCAATACCTGTTTTAAAGAGCAACAAATTGTCAATTGTTGTAACTTTATTTTCTTTTTCTGAATAATAATGAATGAGCTTATCTCCCATCTAAAGTCGTTCAAAGATTTGGATGCCACTGAGGAATGATATCAGGAATAGAGAACATGTCTGTCAAAACACAATAGGAAAAAATAAAAATAAAAAAAAGGAAAAAGAAGAAGAGAGAATCAGACCTTAGTAACATCATCAGCCCAAGATCATAGAAAATATCAAAACCATATCAGAAGAAACAAATAAAATCAAAAGTGAAATAAAAGCACCAAAATGGATTGTTGACAAAAACAAAAATATATATACATATTTGCACAAGGGATTGGAGAGATAAGAGACACTGACCTGCTTTGGACTGGCTCTTTACCCAGATCTACAAGATGAACACATATATGTACAGAGAAACAAAAAATAAAGAGAAAAAAAAATAGAGAAATAGAAAAATAGAGTTGCAAAGAAAGAGATATGGAGGGAGAGAGAGAAACATAAAACCAAGCAAAAAAATAAAAAAATAAGAGAAAGAGAGGAAAAAAGAAAAAGAAAATAGAGACGAAATGAGAGGGGAAAGAATAAGAGAGAAGAAATAATAAGAGAGAAAGAAGAAAAAAGAACTGAGAGGAAAAGAAGCAAAAGAGAGAAGAAATAAGAAGAAAAAAGAAGTTGAAGAACCAAGAGAAAAAGAGACGGAAGAGAGAAGAAAGAAAGAAAAAGAGAGTTAAAAAAATCTGAGATGAAGAGAGAGAGTGCGTGAGAGAGAGAGAGTGAAGTGAGACTTGATATGATTAGGATATTAAAATATGGCTTGTTGGACTTGGGAAATTTGGGCTTTTTGTTGGTATAATGAAATAGTTAGGTTTGGGCCTGAAAATTTTGATATTTTAAATATAAACATATATAATATAAAAATTAATTATATTGGACCAGTTCCTTAGGGTGGAAAACTGGAATCGAAAACAGTCTGAACCAGTTCGGTTTGGATTTGTCTTGGTTTTTGACTTTTCCGGTCAACACGGTTTTTTTCGGATTGGTTTGGTTCAGTTTTGCGGTTTTGCGGTTCCAATGCCCACCCCTGCATGTCATTGACACCCGGGATAATGGATTGAGGTTGGAGGATATTCTAGCGGTACGGGAATTTCCGTATGTGTTTCCTGAGGATCTTCATGGGTTACCTCCTCACCGGGAGATTGAGTTTAGTATTGAGCTTGTTCCAGGAACAAATCTGATCTCTTAGGCATCGTATAGAATGGCATCAGCTGAGTTGAGGAAATTGAAGACACAGTTACAAGAGCTGGTGGATAAAGGTTTCATTCGACCCATTGGTAACCCACCTTGATGTTTCAGACTTCTTCGTTGATACCAATGGAAAATCACATGATTACATGATTAAAGGTGGGGTCCTTCCCAACTAATTTGATGTCTTATTTTCTTTTCATATATTTTTAGCTTAGTTGGGATATTTTATTTTGATCTTATTTGATTTTTTTTTTCTCCAATTATATTTTTAATTTATTTCTTGTTACTAGTTATTTTTTTAAATCAAGATTGTAATTTTTATATCTTTATGTTATATTGTTAATTAATGGTAATGTTTTTGCATTATCCCTAAATTACAGTAGTTGAAGTAGTTGAAGCCCATGCCATTTTATAAATTACATTATTAGTTCGGTTATGGCATATTTCCAACGAACAACAATCCCCTCATACATTTCGTTTATGGCATTCAACTAAATTTATGGGTCAAATATTAAAATGTCTATGTGCTTTACCAAGTTGGCCATTTGTCTACATGTGTTTTCAATTTGGCCAACTTAATTCATGTACTTGAGATTATTAGTCATATAGCCCATTATGTTAAATGGGAGCTAATTATATTTAGCAAATAATTTAATATTAATTAAATAAAGTTTATTTGAATTCATTTCCTGAATATAAAAGTAAGATTAAGTAGATAAAAGTTTAGATTTAAAAAATTAAAAAACAAAAACAAAAAAATACCCACCATCTCCTACCCCTCCCCACCTATTCTAGTTGCCACCTTGGATTGGTGGGAAAGGGGGAGGGGAGTATTGTTGGCTTTTTTCTTTTTCTTTTTTTGTAATTTTTTTTTTGAAATTGAATTCAAATAATTATATTCTTTATTAAACTTAGAATAGATATGAAATTTTTACGACTATTTAAAAAAATAACTACATTGACTAACTATCATAAACATAGAGGCAAAATTAACCAAATTGAAAAACAAATGAAGTAAACTGGCTAAAGGTAAAACACATAGACCATTTTGATATTTTTTTGGGTTACATTGGGAGGAAAAAAACCCCTAGGCCCCATTTGGTTCATGGAATGAATTTTAGGGGAAATCATTTCCCATGTCATTCCCCAAGAAATGGGAATGGAAGATTCATTTCCCACGTTTGTTAATGCTGGGAAAGTAACCGGGAAATATCACTTTATTTCCTTCCCCATGTTTGTTTTGAGTAGAAATGGAAAACAAAGTTTTTATAATTTTCAATTATACCCATATTAAATCAAATAAAAAAAGAATGCATTTAATGATATATTGTAATTTTAAATTGTTAATGGGGATAAAATGGTCATAAAAAATATATATTTAATGTTAGCTCATTTTCCCAAACTTTCCCACGATGAGGGAAAACAAAACCCAAGTTGGAAGGATGGCTTCACTTTCCTCCTACTTTCCCATGAGCCAGGAAACGATATCCCATACCTAGACTTACCAAACATGGGAAAACAATTGATTTCCCATTCTCAAGTTTCCTTTCCCATGAACCAAACGAGGCCTTGGGGTTTTGAACCTAGGTGTCAAGCAAGGGGAAAAGGGGAGACCACCATTTTGATATTTAACCCTTCTTCCATGATTAAAAATTAGAATAGTGGCACATGTACTAGGACATGTATTTTTTGAAGGGTACGAGAAGTTGTGTGCACCACTTGTTTCTGTGGAGAATGACAGTTTCCATTAGTCCAAGGAAGTCGAAAATGCATTTTAGCATCTCAAAATTGTACTGAGGATAAACACACATGTTTTAGCACTCCCTAATTTTCATTAGCCTTTCACCATCTAAATGTGAAGATTTAGGAAAGGAGTTAATTGAAGGGGGTTAATATTAATTCAAGAAGGACGTCCAATTGCTTTAGCAGAGCTCTAACTCCTGTGGAAAAGAAAATTTGGGAATAATTTAAGAGAAGAAGTCGTTTTGCCCATAATTCATGCAATCAAAAAAGGAAAAACTATATTTCAGGAAGGTACATGTGACACAAATTGTCATGTGTGTCTCTTAAGTGAGAAAAACTTCCCTGGCACGGGGATGCCAGGGTCAGCTGTCCACGTCACCCATTCCCGCCTTTAACAAAAAAAACCCTTTTTTTTTTTCTTTTTTTTTGTTGACTAACAGGAACCCTTCATGTTCTTGTGCTTTCTCTTCTCAACACTACTTGGAAGTCCATTATCGCTTCCTGCTTCATATTCCTCCACACACCAGGTTCTTTCTCCTCTCTCTCTCTCTCTCTCTCTCTCTCTCTCTCTCCCTCTCCAAGCCCAATTTTGTTGTGCCTATGTTATCTTCTTGTGGGTATTTGTTTCTTTAAATGTTCAATAAACTTTGTTATTGTGATTGTGCAGTGCGGGTAGGTGATTGAGATTTCCTTAACTTTAGAGTTATTAGTGGTTATGCTATTGATGTTTTTGGGAGTTTTAGATAACTTTCATGCCTCCTCAGCTCTCCTCAGTTTGTTTTGTTTTGTTTTTTTAAATTTTAAATTCCTTCTAAATTTTATTGTCTTACTATATGAAATAGAAACCGTGATTATTTGGTAGGTTTTTTTATTTGGAGAATGGAATTTGACTACCAAAAGGAAAAATTAGAAACAAATAAAGAGGAAAAGTTATTTGAAGGTGATGAATTAAGAGAGGGCATGGAGGTGTGTAATGAAGTTGAAGCATATAATCTATGAAACTCTTATGCATTGAAGAAAGGCTTTAGCTTTCGAAAAGGAAATATTCGAAGAGATGCAAAAAATAATATTCGACAATGAGACTATTTGTGTTCAAAGCACGGGTTTTATGATGTCTTTGACCAAGTGAAGACAATTCATAAGTTGGATACAAGGACAGGTTGTATGGCTCGAATTCGATTCATTGTGGATGATAAAGTGTGGAAGATAAGTCATATAAATTTAGATCATAATCATGTGTTTGCTAAGCCTGAAGAAATATAATTTCTCAAATCGGGTAGAAAGATATGAAAGGTTCATGCAAATGTTATGTCTTCTATGGTTGAAGCAGGTATAAGGCCAACAAAGTCATATTCGCATTTGGCAGAAGAAGTTGGCAGTGCTGAGAATGTCGGGTTTACTAAGAAAGATTGCTTAAATTATTTACACATGAAGAAAAAAGAAATGATTAAAGGGGGGGATACACAAAGTTTGATAAATCATTTCAAGCATAAACAAGCTGAGGACCCTAATTTTTTCTATAGTGTTCAAGTGGATCAGTTTACTCGCATAACGAATTTTTTTTTTGAGAAATGGTAGATCAAAGTTAGACTATGATTGCTTTGAAGATGTTATATGCTTTGATACTACATTCTGGAACAACAAATACAACTTAATTTGTGGTCCATTTGTGGTAATTAATCATCACTGGAAAAATGTATTACTTGGTTGTGCTTTTCTATTAGATGAAAGCACAAAGACATTTATTTGGTTGCTCCAAACTTTTTTGGAGTCATTGCAATGGGAAATAAACATCCGATAACTATTTTCACATATGAGGATAAAGCTATGGCAAACGCAATTGAGATTGTATTTCCACAGACATGCCATCGATTTTGAACTTGGCATATTGCTAAAAATGCTACACAACCTCTAGCTGGTCTTTATAGTAATCAAGAGTTCTACAAATGCTTTTATGGTTGTTTTAGTGAATCAGAATTTCAAGCCACATGAGATAACATGATTAAAACATTCAAGCTTGAGAACCATTCATGGCTACAAAAGTTATATTCACTTAGAAAAAAATGGTGCTCTGCTTTCAATTAGAGCCATCTAAAGGGTTGAGAGCACAAACAACATCTTTCACCCGATTTCTACAAAAACAATGGCTCTCACAAGTTTTATGCACCACTATGAGCAAAAAATAGCTGAGATGCGATTAGCAAAGTTGGAAAAGGATTTTCATTGTCGAAATGGCATGCCTCATCTTAAAGCAAAGAGTGGTATCTTTAAACAAGCAGCTAGTAGGTACACCATTAAGATGTTTTCCTTCTTTGAAAAGGAGCTTTTGGGTTGCTTTAAGGTTAGGTTGGTGGAAGTTTGTAATAGTGGTCCATAATATGTTTTTGAAGCAAATGAAGAAGGACATGAAACATAATCCATTTTAACTCATTAACTTCTAAAATTTCTTGTTCGTGTAAGTTATTTGAATCCAAGGGATTGTTATGTTGTCATGCCTTGAAAGTTTTTTATTCCAAAAATACCACTAGCCTACCAAGTCAATAAATATTGAAGAGATGGACTAAAGGGGTGAAGAAAGAAATTGTGGTGAGTAGTGACTTATGCTAATCTTCTAATAAGAAGGAGAAATCCGTCCAGTCATTGCGCCTAAGTGAGTTGATGCATGAAGTAAATGATGTTGTTAGTATAGCATCATTTTCTGATTCAGGAACAAGGCTTGTCAAACAAAAGTTAGTAGAGGTTAAGTTGTTACTTGAACGTGATATAGAAACTACTAGGACAAAGAAAAATTTGAATAACATTGATGACCAAAATGTTCACGATGTGGAGTGACAAGCCACCAGTTTTGAATCCCCCCACTATAAGGGCTAAAGGCATAATCAATGCTAGGATAAAAAGTAACATGGAGAAGAAAAAAAGAAAGATAAAAGGAAAGGTGCAAGAGTTGGAAATTCATCTTAAGTTTCAAGGCCTACCACAATGGCTGCTAGTAAGAATTCATTTATATGAATTATTTTTAACTAGATTATTTTTGCTAGTATTATCAATATCATGTGCTAATAATGAGTATTTTGTAGGCTAACCTGAGCAAAAAACCATTGGTGGTCCACCTCATTCAACTCATTATAATCCATCCTTCCATCAATTTGGTGTACTTACTCTTTCTCTTCATTATTTTGATTGTTAATTTTAATGTTAATCTCCTAATCTTATTGTTTTTATTAGGATATTTCAAGCCCTATTTTTGGATATCCCAACTTATGCTTTACAAGCATGCTTCAAGGAAGTGATCAATTGTCTTTTTTGAGTCAGGTATTACATGAGACCATTGAATTAAGAAATCTGATTTTTCTTTTTCCTAACATGATATTATATTATGATGCAATAGGATTCATCATGAACTTTGAATGAAAATTTCGCATATGGACCATCAAGTAATTTAAGTCAGGTTTGATTCATGATATTAACTAACTCTTATATTTGCGTTAATGTCCATGTGGATGAAATTTTAAATGCGATCTCATTTGGTTAAGTTGTGGTGTTGGATTTGTATTTTAATGGTTTCAACCAATTTCGTGGATGTTAAGATTAATAAAGGCTGGTTGACAATAGGTAGAGATCGTCCTTATAGTTTCTAATCCTAATATGACAAGGCCTTATATTAATTTTCTAATTTTTGGTTGAATATCTTATTTGAACAGGAGCATTCTAAAATTTGATCATTTTGATGTGCAGAGGCCATTGTTACACTTTGCAAAGAAGAATGATGTATATCTTTTGCTGGACAAAATTACACTTATATATATATATATATGTGATGGATAGTGTGCTCCATTTCTTTTTATTCTCCTATTTGGTAAAGGTTACACTTTTGTACCGGGGAACAATACCGCCCCTCTTTCTTTTTGAAGTGTTATTTGATGAAAATGATTTTGAAAGATTTGAAAGAATTATGTTGCACTTGAAGAAAATGCAGCCTTCAAGAATACAACCAAATAGTTAAATAAAGTATTTCTTGTTTGCATTGTGAGAAAATCGAAACCTTAAAAGAATTTAACAATTTTATTTTTTTAAAGCCATAAAATCCAGAAACAAAAAATTAAACAAAAAAACCAACATGACAATGGCTGCTCAGTTGAGGGAGAAATATCCTAGCAAAAGAAAGCAATTTTCGTTCCTAACAGAAAAAAATAAGAAAGCACGTGGGTTTTTGGTTATAAGAGAAGACATTGGAATGGGTAGGATGGTATTCTGGAGATTTTCTTCCAACTAAAAGTATTCTTAAAATATTAAATGGAAAGTTTGATTAAAAAAGAATAAAAGATGAAGTCAAAGTTGTTGGTAGTTGGCATGATCTCATTGGGCTGGACATTGACGTAGACAGCTGACCTTTGCATCCTCGTGCCAGGGAAGTTTTAATCATATTATGTAGTTTTATTCCATTTATAAAGGGCTAACGATAAAACACCTCTAGATATTCTCAATATGGGCTCCCGGGTGTCAATTTCATCAATTTACACCCTATGGCTTTCAAATCTGACCAATTTAAGCCTTCTGTTAAGTTAACCGTTTGGTCAAACATTAACTGATGACGTGTCCACTGTGGACCTTGTTAAAGTTTGGCTCATTATAGATGCGATGAAGAAAGAAGGAAACTAGGCGTTGCAAGGAAGAGCATTGGGCGTAGGAGAAGAAGACGTGGCAAGGAGAAGCTATAGCAAGCAACCGGTAGGTTTTTGTCGAGAGCTCGCACATGATTTCGGCGTTTTGGCGTGTTTGGACAAAGTTTCCTATTATTTTGGGGTTTTCTGGCCTAATTTAATAGGGTTTTAGTTTCCTACTCCTAGTTAACATTCTAAAGAGAACTTTCATGGATAGGTTAAAAGTAAGATAGGAAAATTCAAGAGTGAATTTTCAAGAAAGAGACTCAAGACAGAATTCAAGGGTGAATTCTTGAATGTTTACAAGGGCATCAAGGGGTTTGAGCAAAGGTGAGAGAAAAGAGAGATAGGGTTCTTGTGAGAGCTAAGAGGGTTAAGTTGTAACCACAGTTGTTCTTATAGTTTTAAGAGATTTTGAAAGTGTTGACGATGACGGGCGACAAGAAGGCGGAAGAAAAGCCGATGCAACCACAAACAAATCACATGAAGGTCTAGGCAAAGACATTCACAAAGAAGAAGAACTTCACGCTGTGGCAAGGGAGAATGAATCATGACCTAGCCCAACAAGATCTAACCATAACAACGGAGGAAATGGACATGCTCGGCGAGTTGGCTAGGGGCTTCATCAAGGTGATGGAAGACACCTTAAAGCAAATGCGGGAAAAGTTCAAACGTATGATTAAAAGGAAGTCCCTATCAAACAAACGTTTCATGAAGGAAAAGCTCATAAATCTTCTGGTAGAGGAGGGTGGAAATCTCATAGAGCATCTTAACATCTTTAAATAGGTATATTTCGGGCTTGCAGAAGGTGGACGTAGTTGATAGCACGAAGGATGAGGCATTGATGTTGTTGGCATCGTTGCCTCTATCCTATGAACACTTCCAAAAGACGATGATGATTGGAAAAAGTACTCTCAATTTTGAGGAGGTCGTGCAAGACTTGGTCCATCATGGGTTGCCTTAAATTATAGAGATAGCTCTCAAGGTGCGGGTCTATTAACATAGACCGAAAAGAGGGGTCGTTCAAGTAAGTGGAAGGGCAAGAAAGACAATGGGAGGAATCCAAAATTCAAGAATGATGAAGGGTGCTTCAAGTGTAGGTATGCAAACTATTAGAAGCGGGACTGTCTGGTATGGAAGGAGAAGCGAAACAAGATGAAAGATGCCAAAAGTTCAAAAGCAACCAATGATGAACTTTTGACCGTTATGTTTAAGGAGCATAATAGGGATGTTGTGGAAAATTCTTTGGGTAAGAGAGACGTATCGTGAGGTAAGACATCTACCAGCACGAAGAAGGAATCTGATTTCCCTTGTCGCTCTAGATAGAGAAGGGTATTCGTACAAGGCCAAAGAAGGGAAACGCTTAATCACACAAGGTTCGATTGTGGTTATGAGGGGGAAGATTCAACCTAACAACGTTTACCAACTTTTTGTGGTTTTGGGGAGGGGGGTACAATAGCAGGTGAAGCAGAAAATTCTACCAATGAAGCATTTTGTACCAAATAAAAGTAGGCAAGGGGTCTTAGTATCAACAAGCTTGTGCAACGGAATGTAGCTACAAGTTCGCTCAAGACTTGTTGGGTAGGGGAGGTTAGTCAAGGTTGTATGATGAACAATTTATCATCAAGGGTGCTTGATTTCAAAGGTGTAGAAGTGACCGTGACGGAGCACAAGGTCCACAACGGTGAAGTCAAGACAAGGGATGGTAAGGAGAATGTTGTTGGGTCGGTGGCAACCGAAAAGAAATTTTTTGCCAAAGTGATCATGGAAGGAACTCCAAAAGGGGTGGAGCTTGACATAAGGGTTGAAGAAAATGGACATCAACAACAAACTCATAAAGAGGTTCTACTTAAGGTGGAGCCTTCATCACTAGCAAGGTCTAGGCCCAAGGAATCAATTAAATCATCCCATGGGTTTGGATGGAATGACAAGGTAAATTCAACTACATTTCAGAGTACTTTTGGGACCATGAACCGGGAAAGTTGGATAGGTGCTGTGATGAGAAGGAACAAGTTAGTTCATAAATCTAATAGCAAGGTTGATGGCTGCGTGGGGATTTATAGAACAGGGGTTGGTATGCAGTTTACATATCAATACATATCAAGAATTCAAGATTCCAAGAAGGCGAAGAGCAAGGAGTTCGACATGATGGATCTCTCTTCTATAGAGATCTGGGTTGCCCAAGTTTAGCTTAGGTGGAGCACCTCCTCACTTGAGGTGCGTTGAGATAAGAGGTTTCTTGCCAAGGTGGAGCTTTTGGGAATTACTAGAACAGTTTCCAAGAGAAAGAAGAGGTTTCTTACCAAGGTGGAGTTCTTAGGAAATACTAGAACAGTTTCCAAGAGGAAGAAGAGACTCTAAGGGTCAACAATTATTCATGGGTGATTGTTGGTTCGTCAAGGTGGAGATTCTTGAAGTTTGGCTCACTATATATGCGGGGAAGGAAGAAGGAAACTAAGCGTTCCAAGGAGGAGCAGCAGGAAGAGGAGAAGAAAAAGTCGTAAGGAAGGGTTGTTGTAGGTAGACTGTCGGTTTTGGCCTAAAGCTTGGGTTGACGTTTTGCCCCTAGGGGATTGATCCCCCATTCCTAGGGACCAGTCGATTCGTGAACAATGCCGCACGTGATTTTGGCGTTTTGGCGTGTTTGCACAAAGTTTCCTATTATTTTGGGGTTTTCTAGCCTAATTTAATAGGGTTTTAGAATTCCTAGTTAACTTGTAGCTAAAGTCCTATGCATTATAAATAGGACTTTTAGGGTTATGTTAAAAGTAAGAGAGGAAAATTCAAGAAGCCTAAACCCTAAGAGTAAATTTTCAAGAGAGATACAAGACAAAATTCAAGGGTGAATTCTTGAGTGTTTACAGGTATCAAAGGGTTTGAGCAAGGGTGAGAGAAAAGAGAGCTAGGGTTCTTGTGAGAGCTAAGGGGGTTTAAGTTGTAACCAAAATTGTTCTAACATATTAGTGAATTTCTCGGGTGGATCACCATGAGAACGTAGGCAAGAGGCCGAATCTCTATAAGTCTTTGTGTCATTGTGTGTTTGTTTTACTCTCTTCCTGGTGTGTGTGTGTTTTATTCTCAAAGAGGTTTCTATGTGTGCGCATCATGTAGTCCATCAACGACAAGGTCCTGGAGTGTTTCCGCACAACAAACCCACCCACTAACCAATTCCTATATAAAAAATATATATATACGTAAAATGATAAAATAACATATAAAATAAATAAATAAAAAACTTTTAAAAAAAAACCTAAACCCTAAACCCTTAAAAAAAAACCCTACCCAGAACCTAGCCATTTCCCTCCCAACAAAAAATCCATAAATTCTGAACCCATTTATCTCTCTCTCAACCAATCAAAACCCATAATATTGATCTAAAATTAACCAACCTAACATGTGTCTCTCTGTAAAACAAAATCAGAGAGATCTTCACCGATCGTAACTCATTCACTTGTCTTTAGAGGTAGACATGGTCAAGAGCTGGCTTGGCCTTTGCTGGAAGCTGACTCTTCACTTTTGCTGGTGAGTAGAGGTGTCAAACGGATAGGGACGGCCCGAGCATGGCCTGATTAAGTAAGGCCCGACACCGCACTACTTGTATATTTGGACGAGCCGGAAGAAGGTAATCCGACCCAATGAGCTAGACTTGCCCACCGTTTAAAGCCCATTTATTAAATTATATTTACTTTAGAGAAAAATAATACATAATATTATTATATTTATATCTTAAATTCAAGTATATTTCTTTTTATTTAATAATATATATTAAAATTTAATGTTATCTTTATAAATAAAATAATGATTTTGTTTTTTCAAGTTTCAATTTCCAAAACCTGGAATTAATCTAGCCATTTTCTATTTAAATGTAGTTCAAATAAATTTATTAGCCTCTTTTTCCAACAAATAATAAATCTTGTTAGTATATACATAATTGTAAACAAAATTACCAAAATAAAAATAAAAATGCAATACATAAGTTAAATTTGGTGTGGCCCTATATCAGCTTGTTTAGTGGCCTAACACGAGCACGGCTTGGTCCCATATTGGCTAGGACGTGGGCTTGAGCCGAGATTGATGATTTTCATAAATGGATGGGCCCGACATTGTTCGACTCTAAATAGGATAGGCCGGGCTGGCAAGACTTGTTTGACACCTCTACTAGTGAGCACAATGCTAGATCAGAGTGACAGTACGACACCGCGTTGTGACCTTTGATGTTGTTCTTGTGAAGGCTGCAGCGAAATGACCGTGGATGCGATGTTGGTGAGCACAGACTGGATGCAATGTCGGCAACCCTGGATGTGAGTTGGGGGCCAATGATATGAAGTTTTAAAAATTTCCAACAGTCATAGAAAGCTTTCAATAGTCTTGAAAAGAATTACTGGAGTTTAGACCGCCACATGTGCCTGAACCTATCGCTTTCTAAGTAAGTCGATCGGTCGACTACGGATGAACGACTAGTTGGCCTAGGTAGTTTGCACGTTTCCTATTCCTATTTGAGTTTATATTTAGCCATGGTTTGGTGTGCTTGGTGGACAAGGTTTTGGTTTACTTTTTCTTGTAAGATTAGGGTTTTGTGTGAGCCTATAAACAGTATATTATGTGATGTATGTTTTGTGTGGGAAAATTTAGGGTTTGTCACCATGTAGGGTTTTGGGGCTCTCCTTCATTGGGAGATTAGAGAATAATTGAGGTTTTTGGATCTCTATTAGTATCAAATTGCTGTCGGTTTAATGTTTGTTTTCCCTTCTTCAATATCAAATTGCTGTCGGTTTAATGTTTCTCCCTCTTTTGGTTTAACAATTAGTCTGCAAAATCGATAATGCCTTTGGATGACATAAATGTCACTTTTTCTTTTGTCGCATAAAAATAGTGTAATGACTTGTACTAACTCAAGTAATTAAAACTTCTTCATTCTTGCGGTTGATGTCATGTGTTCGATCCCTCCCTTTTCGGTAAAATGCCGCTTGTATTAGAAGAAAGAAAAATGTTAAATGCAAGAGGCCACTCCTCGTATTGATTATTTGATCATTATTGTTAATATAGTTTATAAGCCATCCATAATTCAATGAAAGAAAGTTAAGCTGCTCTAGTTTAAAAATATAGCCCCCACCAAGTCAATGGCTCAGATTTAGGAATGGGCCCGCAGATATTCTTAGATGTGCATGGATGAAAATCAAACCAAAGTGAATGACAAAGTCTCAGTATCTTTGAGTAAATGTCAAGAAAGGAACATATATAAGGCCAAAAAAAAAGATGTCTTCATTTGAAGAAAAATTATAAAAAAACATAAAAGCTTTTGTCGTTGGACTGGCTTAGGAATTGTATCACATATCAAAGCACGCGTAATCTTACTTTTCCCTCTAAGTCACATACCATTGCTTTCTAGGCTTGTAGCCCTTCTAAGATTTTTAGTCTAAAATACACATATATATATATATATATATATATAAGAAAAAGTACAAAAGATAAATCAAATTATATAAATATTTGTCCATTTACCAAACTAAAGCTTTCTAGGCTTGTAGCCTTCTAATACGATTTTTAGTGTAAAATCACTTTTTTAAATGCTGAAGAAAACCCGATGGAGGGGGTTTTCTATTTTATTTTTTCTTTCGGTAAATTATTTTTTAGTTGAAGTTACATATCGACAATTTATTCTCAATCGAAATCCATGTGTATTACCTTTTACTTGGGACTAATGTCATTAAGAAAATAAATTTTGTTACGGTTCGAAATTGAAACCCATCAAAACAACCAATTCAAACCAATGCAAATTAATTATCGATTAGGTTAGACTGAATTTTTAGTTCAAGAATGTTGTCTTTTAAAAAAATTAACTGAATTTTTTTCAATCCCGATAAATTCTAACTTGAGACTACATCTAACAAAGTGAAGAGAAATACGACTAAATTTGCAAAATTTATTATATTTCAACTATAATAGACGTGAGAATGTGGGTTGAGTTTCTTCCCTTGCAAATGTAAGTTACTTGATGTAAGAATTTGTAGAGTGCTTGAATTACCTTCATTTTACTTGAACTAAACTACAAAGGAAAACCTCCTTGGCCCTTTCATATCTAATCAAAAGAAGAAAAAATTATATTAATGGTAAAATTGACAATAGATCAGTAATTATACATTTTAAATAACAGACACTCACTTTAATATGTTTATTTTAGAAATACAATGACCCTGTTTCACTGTTGGGAAGACAAGTAATTAAAAATATTTAAAATTGGAATTTAATTTTTTTTATATAATAATAATAATAATAAATATTTATAAAATAAAATAAAATAAAATATAAAAAAAAGGTGCTTGGAGTTGGATTGGAGTTCCATACTTGATTGATACCCAATAGGCTTTAAGAAAGATACTTGGAAAAAAATGACATCTGAAAACATTCTTTTAGTTTGTTTATTAGAAAGAATGGGTGATGAGATGTCATTGCCTTCAGAATAAAGAAACCTTTTTCATGCATAAAGGCTTTTGAAAAATGTGGCGCACACACAAAGCCATATTCATACTTAATAAATAACGTGGCCGGCTTAGAGGAAGTGCCACATCATCACGAGTAAAATGCATGCTTTTTCGTGGAAGCTTATAATTTAGTTTTCTAATTAAAACTTAACAAGTGATGAGACTGAAAACTTTTGGAAAAAAAACGTTGGTAGCAATTCATGACAGAGCATTCAATGTGAAGAATGCATATTGGGTGATGCATGAAAATGTGTAGCAATTCATGACAGAATTACAGCATCCGATTTAAAATCAACTTTGTAATGATAGTAAACTCTTTAAAAAATGTATTGTATTTTTTGTTATATTAGCTGATCACGTAATGTAATTATTGATTTACTTAATTATTGCATTATTATTATGGATTTTTGTTCGTTGACATCAATAATATCATAGTTAATTACCAACTTTTTTATTTTCAAATATTAATCACCCAAGGGTGTGGTACATGACATGATATGTTTTACATATACTTTACGATACAATATTATTAAGTATACGCGTGTTATAACATAGTTAAATTAGTAATACCATATGAGGGTATCCCAAGGACATCCAAGAGGCGACAAATACTCGTCCTTGGCCTTCATCACACACGAAAACATCACCTCACCAATCATCTCAGCTAAAAATCATGCATTTTAATGAGTAAAGGCCTTGTGCTTGGCAATTCAAGTGGTACCAATAACACCAAAATAACATGTCACTTACTGCCTTTATAGAATGAATGGAGGTATCAAATTGGGTGTTAATGCCATTATAAAACATCTTCTATTTTAATTTAATCTAAACTATTAAAATGAGGATTTAAACTTGTTGCAAAATACATCCGTTTAACTTGACTAAGCCTATGTGCATTTACTTTGGCTTCGCCTAATGCAACAAACAAATTAATGGTCAAATATAACACCTAGCTGCTAGCCTACAAGCCCACGAGAGAGGGAGAGAGAGAATGTGTGAGAAGGATATTGAGGGGCATGGGCATGAAAATTACATCAAACATGGGGTAGTGTCTTCACCTTGCATTGTGGCATATGGGTAGGTTTCCCAAGTTTAGAAGCTGTGATGTAAGCCACGTACCGATGTCCTCTAACTACTACGATAAATACAAAAACACCCATGAACCCCCCTCTCTAGACATGCATGATCTAGAACAACTATTTTATACTCTCTTTTTTCTTTTTTTCTTGTTTTTTTTTGGGTATAAAGAAACAGTTTATACTCGTTAGTGTTTGTGAAAAGAAAAATACTGGTTTTAGTTTTCTATTTAATTTGTATGTATATTTTCGTATGATAATAGTCACTAGTTAAAAAGTTATGTAAAATGACGAGAACGCTGAGATTTTACCAATTAATTATGCTCGTTAGCAATTTTAACAAACTGCTCATTTTTAAAAAGATACTTATATCTTACAAACTATCATATCCACCAATCCAATGAAAGTATTAAGTAGCCAAAAATTCAAGAAATAACAAATTTTAAAATTGACATAATGGATGTAGTAATGTGTCTTAACTAGAAATAAAATTGTGGGGATTTTAATTATAGTAATAGAGTATTGTTCAAACAATCGTAACAAGAGTTCGATTTTTTGCTTTTCTCCTATTTTGAATAAAAAAGAAAAGAAAAGGATAGTAGTGAAGCTTAGGAAATTTTGTAATTATGGTCCAGTAATTGGGTTTGGTTTGCGTAAGTCTTCCTTACAACCAATTATATATAATTATATGACTATCTCTTTCATCACGTGATAATTTATTCATTTTTAATATAAGGGATATTAGAGGTGGGAGGCAATCGAACCTAAGACCTAAGGTGAAAACATAAATAATCTTAACTACTTGGATCATAATTCCCTTTGATGATGAACCGAAACCCAACCCTTACTATTAGTATCATTATTAAGTAAGATTGAACCATTTTTGTTTGGTTGAAATATAAATAACCATGTAATAATAAAGCTAAACAAAACCAGTAAAGAATAGAAAGGGAAAGACTAAAAGCCCTCAAGAGGGTCCCACTACTAAATAGATGCCCCAAAGGCTGCAAAATGAACGCTTATATAAATCCCCTTTCCCTTCCCACTACAGTCACCTCTTGTGCTCTCACTCACTCACTCACTCACACAAAGCAACCCGCATTGGGCCCTTGAAACTTTCGAAACGTTCCTCTTTCCACCACCACCACCATGGCTAGATCCCACCAGCGGTATCGCGGCGTCCGACAGAGACATTGGGGTTCTTGGGTCTCCGAAATTCGCCACCCTTTACTGTAATTCCCATCTCTTAACTGTTTCTATTTCACTCCTACAAAATGTTTCTATCATGTTTATTCTTAAAATCAGTTTCTCACCAAACCAAGCTGTTTGTTTTTTAGTTCACGCAATTTCATTTTGAAGTTTTGATGCTTGTGTTACTTTGATTAGTTCTGAACTAGAAACGCGTTTCTTTTGTTCTCTTTTTCAGGAAGACCAGAATTTGGCTAGGCACATTCGAAACGGCGGAGGACGCAGCAAGAGCATACGATGAAGCAGCGAGGCTCATGTGCGGCACAAAGGCACGTACCAATTTCTCATACAATCCCAATGAGACCATGTCACATTCATCCAAGCTTCTCTCGGCAGCTTTGATTGCAAAGCTCCACAAATGCAACATGGCCTCTCTGCAAATGGCCAAAACTACTAATAACAAGCCAGTTCCAAAGGAGGAACCACAGCAACAAGTACACTACAATCCAGCAGCCCCTTCTGCCACCTGCATTATCGAAACCGGCGACGTTTCGGGTTTCGATTGGCCCGAGAAGATCAGAGAGTACAGTGGAGTGCAGCAATGGGTTGAACAGGGGAGCTGGGTTGGTGGTGGTGATCAGGTACTCGGGAGTCCACACGATCATCAGCAGCATCATCAGCATCAGCAGGAGTTTATTGAGAGACTTGAGGATGATCATATAGAGCAGATGATTGAGGAGCTGCTTGATTATGGTCACATTGAGATTTGTCCTGGTGTTTCAACATAGGGAAGAGAAACTCATCAAGTCATCAGCATCTTCTGTGCGAAAATGCAAAACTTTTTTGTATTAGCTATATAGCCATTAGCCTTATGTCTAATAAAATTTAGTTAGATGAGTTTCAATGGTTAACGAGTATCCATTTGCAAACTTATATGAGAAAGAAAGAAAGAATCAAAAAATATATATGCAGCTACATATGGCACACAAATCTTACGAGAAATAGAACTTATAGTGGTTTTTTTAGTCTATTGGGGTAATGTATGGAAACACATTAAAAACAGAGATTGATCTCATTTGTCACTATTTTGGTCAATTTCGAAACAGAACTGTTATTGGAACTTCAAAAAAAGTCATTATGCACTCGTCAGTTATAAAATTATAAGGAGAAAATTGCACTCCTAGGAATAATGCATGATGATTTTTTTTGGAGTATCAATAACAGTTTCCTTTTTAAAAAAACCAAAATTGCACAAATTAAAGACTCTTGAATTAAAAAAAGGTGCACACACCAAAGTAGAAAACCAGCTTGAGTGTGTATGGAAACTATAATTTTCTGAGGGTGAAAATTACGTTCAAAACTTGAATGCGTCGTATGGAATTTCCTGATAAAGACAATACACACGAAAAGACAACGAAGTGAGGAGAAAAATTATAAAAGAAGAAAAAAGAGTCGACAAATTGAGAGTGAAAGCATATATGTTATAGAATTTTTGGTGTTCATTGTCGAATGGATAAAGACATCTTCAAAAAAAAATTTGTCCTGTACCCACTTATCATATTATTAAGCTTGAATCACAAAATAATAGATTTTCAAACAAGAATCCCAAATTTAATAGATTAGTCCAGAACACAGATTGAGAGAGAGTTTGAGTGAAATGTCATGATTGAGCCACAATTGCCTGATGATAATATGAAATATTTGTCACAAAACTATTCTCCAAAAAGAGATAATAATAAATAATAAATAAATCAATAAAAGCTGCCCAATAGCTAGGCTTTCTATATACGTAAGAGGCTAACAACCATACGTTTAATTTTGGTGGGGTTTGAAATTGGAAATTTCGGAGGCAATTGTGTCAACAGTGAAATATCCAATTATATCGAGTCAATTTATATGCGCAATGATCAGATGCGGCCAAAATATGATCAGAGTTTTTGCAGATTTTGATTTCCTCACTCTCTCTCTCTCTGTCTCTCTCTCTCTCTCTCTCTGCAGAAACATTCTCATTGTTTTCTCACTGCTTTTCTAAGTTGATGTGTAGATTAGACAACTTTGTTATCCTTCCAGCTTAGATCCACTGATTCCTAGCCAAAAGAGTCACTTTTTGACCCATATGAACGAAAGGGAAAATTTATAAAAAAAATTAAAAAAAAACTCCAATTTCTTGTTTTATCCGACTCCTATGACGTGATTCATAGATCTGGTAATTGTGTGATTATAAGCAGATAAATATAATTGATTTGATGATAGAGTTAGTGTTGTTATTAGCAGCACTCAAGCGCTATCCGGTTAGGAAAAAAACAAACCTGCTAATCATTTATAGACCTGGTAAATTTATTTTCCAATGAGCAATATATCTAACACATGATATCTGTTTTCTGGCAGGTATCAATTCAATATCAAAAGCAAAAGCCTAAAGGGGGTGTGATGATAAACAGTCCATTGAAAATGTTATTATTGCACTAATTAGCATATTTGTAATCATTATTATATCTTCAAAGGAGATTTTAGCTTCATATTTTGAAGATTAGGCATAATCAAATTATAATTCTCTAGAGATTATTACCGGTCAACATGGAAATGCACTTTCTTCCGTTACTTTTGGAGTGTGCTTGTGGATCTCTTCCATGCTAAATAAACAAAGGCCTTGCAGTTTCCAACAGTTTGGGCCCACCTGTCATTTTTGTTTTAAACTTATCATGTCATAGTCTTTGTAAAATGATTTGCTCACCTCACGCCAGATTAGGCAATGTGATTAGAGATGCTTTGTGTCAAAATTTGTATCTTATTGTCATAAATATTTTCAATATACAATGAACCACAAGTAAGACTACCAATCCAACCTAGAACTTATGATACACGGGTAAATACTCTTAACAACTTGAGTTAGAAGTCCCTTGCACTAGACCAAATAATCATTAACAAATACTCTAATGAGGTTAAAAGCTATTTTTGCTTTAATTTTAACGTTTTTTCACTTTAGACCATGTACTTTTAAAAATTCACAAAAAACACTCTATGATAAGAATTCGAACTTAAGTGCATGAGGACGGACTCAACGCCCTAGTCGACTAGACTAACTCACATATGCACACCCCATGAGGTTTTAGAGTGAGAGCAAGTTAAACCCTCATGCAATTGAAGGAAATTGACAAGGGGAGAAATAGCCAAACTCCTTATAAATTCAGGTTAGGTCCCTTATCTTTTCAATGTGGTACAAACACTTTCAATAACAATAATTAATTAAGAGAAATAAGATAAACCGCTTCCTCACACACTCAAGCACCCAAATGAGAAGTCCTTAAAAAAAAAAATACCATTTCCACTGTGCAACTTCACCTTTCTTGAGCCTATCGGATTGAGCCACCATTTGACCATGCGTTTTGTTCCACCTTAAAATAATGATGTGCCAAGTGTCCCAAGGTAAACTATTGGATTTGATACCACTTATTGGGTCCACGTCCTCTTCACTTTTCCCTAATTACATGAATTGCACCAATATTGTTAACAACTCAACCTCGGTGTCCAAAATATGGTCATGAAATTGAAATTATATGAATCTCTGGAATTGATTTTGTCCCCCGCGCGCCGCAACCATCTCTGGAATAATATGGTAAATATCAATGCTATTATGAGAGTTATCCTAAACATTTGGTCTTTGTGGTTGAAAACAAAAGTACGGTTATCAATATCCAAAAAATGAATTCGATCGCACACAATAATTTAACAATAAAATTAAAGAGCCTAACAACTTTGATGAATCGCCCCCCTGCACATGAAATTGTAATAACAAAAATATATGAACAGCCACTTTTTTTATCCCCCACAAAATTATGAGTGAAGTTATTATTTCTTCTTTTTCTCAAGAAAGCAATAAAGCAGTCAAGATTAATCATGGTGCAAGGAAACTCATATGTATCCAAATTGATCATAAGGATGCAATTATATGACATCAAATAGCCCTATAAATCAGAGAGCATTTTTGCTCACCACTTTAATCCAAGGTATATTTTCACTACATTTCTTAACACTTGACACGTGTCTGTGGATATAACCATTCCATGAATACAAAGCAAAGAGCTAACTATGATTATGCCAATTGACACGTATCAAGTGTTAAGAATGATGATGAGAGCACATCTTGGGTTAAAGTGATGAGCAAAAATATTTCCTTTAAATCCTTCATTACATACACCAATCTTATATTCTAGTTAATTTGGATTCGATTATCATTGGATTTAGATATCTAGATCAAGTGAGTCTTGCAGGTTGGCGGCCAAACTTCCCAAAGAGCGAAAACACTTCCAACCCCATTTTCTATTTCTTTTAGAAAAGAACAGAACCATGTAGAAGCAGCCAAATCTCTCTATCTCTTCTCAACGTGGGCATGCCGCATGCATGTAATTCCTTATATTCTCCCTCCACTCCCATCCCTTCACATGGACAACCATGTTATCTTCAAATGCAGAGAATGCCTCCATATATATGCATGTTAGCATGCACATGGTTTTAGCTACCCCCTTTTATGATGTAGGGTTTAGATGGTTCTCTCTCTCTCTCTCTCTCTCTCTCTCTCTCTCTCTCTATGAATACCTGGTACTTGTTTCCCTTGTAGTTCTTTGTTCATTTTGTCTCACCCAATTTCTTCACGTGAGCAACCATTGTGTCCAAATAATTTGTCTCAATATGCATGATTGTGAGAGCATGCATGCACCTGGTTGTAGGTTTTCAGCTGCCATCACTACTACAAAATAACCCTTGTGCGACCAAATTTTGCGCGACGAAACTCAAAACTTCGTCGCTAAAAATCTAGCGCGACGAATTTTTTTTCGTCGCTCAAAGCGACTTTGCGCGACGAAAATACGTCATCGCTCAAAGTCTTGCGCGACGAAAAATAATTCGTCGCTCAAAGTAACTTTGCGCAATGAAAAAAAATTCGTCGCTCTAAGTAACTTTGCGCGATGAAAAACAGTTCATCGCGCAAAGCGACTTTGCGCGACGAAAAACAATTCGTCACGCAAAGCTACTTTGCGCGACGAAACAATTAACTTCGTCGCGCAAAGTCCTTATAAAAATAAATAAAATAAATAAAATATTTTTTAAAATCTTTGTTAGAAAAATATATTATTGTTTTTTGGATTGGGTTTTTATTAGAAAATATATTTTTTAGATTGACGATCGAATTAGTTCATTGTATTCATATAGGGTCAAAGAGTGTAGCTATAAAAAAATCATCAAAATCGGAGTTAAAATAACCGTTAAATCGTGATTTTTCATTTATAACCGTCGAAAAGTTTTGTCCCATTACTTGATCTCTGAATGTTTATTTCTTCCGATTTTTAGCGTATATGATCTCGAAGTATAAACAAACAAGTTTGACGGTTGGATCGTTCAAACTAGTTTCATAGAATGCGTATGCCATCAAAACAATATATTCACTAACAATTAAGAGTTTATTTATACTTTTGTTAAATATAACATAAGATTTTGTGGTATCCACTAGTGTAAATATTTTAAATTGAAGATCAAATTCAGTCATTGTATTCATATAGGGTAAAGGAGTGTAGCGGTAAAAAATCATCAAAATCGGAGTTAAAATAACCGTTGAATCATGATTTTTCATTTATAACCGTCGAAAAGTTTTGTCCCGTTACTTGATCTCTGAATGTTTATTTTTTGCGATTTTTGGCGTATATGATCTCGAAGTATAAACAAACAAGTTTGACGGTTGGATCGTTCAAACTAGTTTCATAGAATGTGTATGCCATCAAAACAATATATTCAC